TTCCACTTTCCTCTATAATATCTTCCATCCAATGATGCTTCAGTCTCTGTGCCTATCATTCTTTAATGGAAAGCTTTGAAGGCTGCTAATAAACATATAAATGCCATTGGCGGAGGTTAGCTTCCTATTGTCTCCTAGGACTTGTAAATTCAGATTAGTGTATTAGATTAGCCAAGGATGGAGATACACTTAGGCCAGAAAGCAAGGAGTCTAGAAGAAAAAGAACAAGAAAACTCACACACATATTATTTTTCTGATATTTTGAAGTGAGGGAGGTTAGGGCTCAAAGGGCTTGGAAAGATATTTAAATTTAGTTTAGAGCGCTTGATCAACGATTAACAATGTGCATTTAGGGGAAGGTGGTGGGGCAGCAAAGAGTAATGGATGCTTTCAGTGGATAGAGGGAGTAGGCTTAGGGGCAGATCCCATGCTAATATCCCAGGCAGAGTGTGGAAAATCAGCTTGGTTATTGTTTTATGGGCATATCAAGGATCCTTCCGGGAATGGCAAGCAAAAGAGGTTTATTTTCCTCGCTTTATGTAAAAATTTCTCTGTAGGCATTATTGTCTTAATTTTTGGTGTGAAACTTCAGGCTTGGGGTAGTTTGATGCCTTTGATTAGTTGTGATACTAGTTTTTAGTAGTGTCAAAAATGGAAACGAGTTAACAGTATTATGTGTTCTTTTTACTTTAATTACATTAAAAATATGTGTTCTTTTTTATTTAAATTTCATTAAAAATATTGTCAGGTAAGGCATACAAAATGCTAATTTAGGACTTTGGGATTTCTGGAATGAGTGGTAGAGAAGGCTTATAGTCTGTGTTTGTAGATGTGAGAATCAGAAGATGAAATTATATATATTTTTTGAGACAGAGTCTCACTCTGTTGCCCAGGCTGGACTGCATTGGTGCAATCTTGGCTTATGGCAACCTCCACCGCCTGGGTTCAAGCAATTCTCCTGCCTCAGCCTACTGAGTAGTTGGGATTACAGGCACCTGCCATCATGCTGACTGACTTTTTGTGTTTTTAATAGAGATGGGGTTTCACCATGTTTACCAGGCTGGTCTTGAACTCCTAACTTCAGGTGATCCACCTGCCTTGGCCTCCAAAAGTGCTGGGATGACAGGCGTGAGCCACTGCACCCAGACGAAATAAGATGTTAAAATAAAATGCAAGGTCTAATCTTGATTCCTCCCAAGTTGTATGTCTGGTCGTGGCCAGAGAGAAAATTCTAGAACATGTTTTTATTTTCATTTTATTCATATGTGATAGATTATTTCCAAACCTGCCATCACAAGGTAGAGCATATTTTCCCTCTCACTTGAACCTGGGCTAACCTTGTGATTTTCTTTGATAAAAGAATATGCACAGCAAAGCTTTATGACTTCTGGGGTTAGACCTTAGGGAGATCTCACATCATTTGCTTTCAGTCTTGAAGGTCTTAGGGCTCCATGTTCCAAATAAGTCTAGTCTAGTCCACTGAAGGATGATAAGTCTCATGATAGAGGCACAACTGCTGTTAGCTGGCACCAACTTCTGGATAAGCTGTTAGGTATCTGTAGCCATATGACTGACCAGCAGAAAGAACACCACTCAGATTGTTAACCTGCAGAATTGAGAGAAAGGCTGAATCTTTGTTAGTTTAAACATCTAAATGTTGGAGCATTTGTTGTACAGCAATAGGCACTTGAGACAGCATACAGTACTTGTATAACAATGACATATGTGAGCATATGTATAGTGTTTTATAGCTTCCAAGGGTTTTTCACATGCAATTTTATTTCCCTGAATCCACAGGATAACTTTACTTTCCAACTCTGTAGATTAGCTGTAAGGATTTTCTGTTTTGTTTGGGGATTTAATCTTTATTATATAAGATGTATGTTATATTCACCTATATTACAAATGAAAAAGCTGAGATGCTCAAAGTTTCCAGGGTTCACTTACAATCACAGGGCTGGTAAGTGAGCAGGAAAGGGCTCTCAAAGAAATTTTTCCTCTAGAAAGCCTACAAGGCTTTGCCTTAGGCCATGTTGTAAAAGCCAGGGGTATAAGCCAGCTATTGGAACACACAGCTGTGAGATGGGTGGCTGCAGGTAAAAAAGGCAGCCTTATCGTGGACCTAGGCCACTGTAGAATCCACTGTGGAGCCTTGAAGAAGCTTCCCTTTGGTTGTCATGCCAAGAGACCGCCTATAGTCTCCAATAAAACTTCAGCCCAGCCTGCAGGAGTTTGTTAATTTGTGTGTACTTCTGACATGTTTTGCAACTGTTAGTTTAAAAAACAAATACAGTAAAATATACCCTAATTTACCACAGTCCCAAATTAGCCCAGGAGAACAGGACTGCTCTGTGAAAATAGGGGTGGAGGCTCATGTGCATGGTTTCTCAGGTAACGTCCATGCCAAGTAAAATAATTTCTTTTCCTTACCCACCTCACTGCCTTCAGGTTAGGGCCTCATCACTTCTCTCCTGGGTTGCTGTGACAGCTTCCTAACTGGTACTCCTGCTGTAACATAAGCCTCTTTTCCCTTTCAACCACATGGCACATTGGCACCAATTCCATGTCCTAGAGCCAAAAGGAAGGTGTAGGCTTAGGAGTATAAGCTTCATTTCAGGAGTCTTTGTCATCATGTAGAACAAGTGTTGGAAAATAATACAAGCTTATCATTGATTAAATAACTGTGAGAGCCACCACATCATAGCCACCACCTCTTTATCCCATTCTAATTATTGCCACATCTCTTGTCAGGGTGAATTGAGCAACATCTACATCTTTGGAAGCATTATGACTATGACTCTCCCGTCTCATAGTTATGATTTTGTTTAAACTCTCCCCTTTATTCTCTACTGCTTCATCAGTTTAACTTCTGCTCACAGTCTAAAATGAGGCTCAAGTGTCAACCCTATTTAGAAGCCTTGCAGTTTCTCTGAGATATAATATATACATAATAGAAATTAGTCACAAATACTTAGATACTTGAAGCCTACATAAACAGGATTCTGTAATTAGGTACAGTAAAGTCATGTAATCAGAAGTTCATAAAACGCCAACTTGAGAGCTACTGGTTTAAACTTTTCATTTACAAGTGATATCATTGAGCCTGGAAGCGAGAAGTAATGTAGAATAGCGGTAGGGAAAGAAGGTGAGGTGTAAGGTTTATTTCCCAGGGTCAAGCAATTAGGCGAGAGGCGAGGTGGGACTAGAAAGAAAACTAATCTCTTGGCTCCTAAACCAGTGTTCTTTGTATTTGCCCAGGCTGGTACAAAGAATTTAATTGTGTGAAGGTGATTAAAACTAATCATTAGTGTTTTCAAGTGAAGAAATACATATTTTTCTTTAAAAAAGAGTTGATTTCCGTAGCTTTATTGAATTAACCAATCGAAGTTCATCAACTATTCAATTCCATTAGACAACCGGAAATTCAGCCAAGCAATTGACACTTGCCACTGAGTCAATGAATTATTTGGCTACACAGCCTAAACAGCTCAGTGGTGTAGGTGTTGCACAGTCTGGCTTTCTCTGAAGGGGTAATCCGGTAAACAAACAAACCCAAGAGAACTATGTACACACAGACCGGTTCCCCCACATTGCCCACCAACTGAAGCAGATTAAATTAATAACTTTGCTCTGTTTATGGACATGCTAGTTATAAGCAATGTAGGCGTCTCGACTGACAATCAGCCAGGCAGAGAAAGCAATTAACTCATGGATCTAAATCACAAGAAAGAGGAGCCATTTTCTATATGACCTGGATATATCCTTGGTATAAATTACTAAATTAATTAATGAATAAATCCCAAGTCTTTGTTGGTTTGCAACTCTACTCATTCATCAAATTTTATGAAACATCTCTTTCTGTATTAGACATTGAAAAACAATGAGGATTAAAATATGTTTCTTAAAACATTAAAGAGAGACAATGTAGTTGCGAGAAAATAATTTCAAGTTAATTTTGCTGAGTATTTCTTGGATCCAAAATCCTGGAAGGTGAAAGAGAAAGAAAGGGAGGAGAACCATCTTTTGTGAAGCCTGATTACGCCTGCCTGGTGTTTTCTCATAAAGAAGCTTTGGCCCTGGGTAAAAGAGAGTTGAAAGCAAGTGACTCACGTGGGTACCACACCCACCTTCAGATAACTATGTTCTTTTCCCCTGTCAGCAGCTAAATTAGGTAATAATTCCTTATACTTGCCCTAGTACTGTTCGCAGTATTTTACATATACTGTCTCATATAATCCTCATCTTCACCCTATGGAGACAGGACAAATACCACTATTTTCCTTTTAAAGATAAGGAAACCAAGGCCTAGAAAATTTAACTGATTTCCCAAAGCCACACTGCTTTCTTTCAAAGGTGTGGCAATCCGTAACTTGACACTCTTAACAAATGGAGGCAATTTCTTGATTGAACAATATTCATAGAATTACTGAATTTATGTTGGGTAGTGATGATGGAATATGTCTCAGTCTCCTTGTTGATGTCTAATAAACAATATTTCAATATATTTGCTGCATGCTTATTTATGATGCCCTGCTTCTTCCTCCACCTATGTTTTACTATCTATTAAAGTGTACATCTGATCTCTGGTAAGCCATGGAATCTTATAGGGCTTCTCAAATCCACACTGTTTTAGTGTCCTTTCTGAATTTCTTCAGCAATGCAAAAAGTACTTTTTAAAAAAGTAGTTAATGGATTGATTCTTGGATACGTTAATTACGATACTATGTGAGGGCTTCAGGCAAAGACAGAAGAGCAATGCCTGTTGCTGCTCCACCAGATCTCATGGTCTGGTGGGGTGGCAAGAGTCTGGGCAGCAGCTCCCCACTGCAGACATCAGGGGTGTGCTCTGTTGGAGTCCCTCGTGCTATGGGGGCTCTAAAGAGGAAAGGTCTGTTCTGCATAGGGTATAAAGAATGTAAAGACGTGCAACAATTTGGTTAAATACTTATCTGAGCTGCTGGCTAGCATTTCATTTGCCTTATCTTTTTCATCTCAACTAGAGTGCTTCAAGTTCACCAGTCTGTTGGTGAAGAGCAAGGATAGGAGAGGACAAATTATTCAACATAGAATAAAGTCAGCACCAGCTATCTACCCTCTAAAAGTCGAATTTACCTGTGAGAGGAGAGAACATCAAGGGCTGCAATATGCTGAGCTTTCCAAGAAAACTGCTTTGAAGGGAACAGCTTTTGCTTGGATGGGTAAGTCCTAACATATTTATAAAAATCATTCATATTGTCATTTTTCATATAGCCTCAATTCTGTGCCAGATCATCATACTAGTTAAGGGTAGAAAGTGGCATGAGAAGGGGAGTGAGTGGGACAGAACTACAATAAATAAAATGCACAGTCCCTGAACTTTTAATTGAGGAGCCATAATTAAATAATAGTGAAAAGCAGGATATGACTTGAAGCTATAAAGGAGTCATCGATAGCTTGAGGGATTCCATGAAAGTGGGAAGTCAACTTGCATATTCGGGGAAAGCTTCACGGAGAAGGTGGGGTTAATTGGATCTTGGAGAACAGGTTGCATTTTGACTGTTAAGAAGTCAGGGAGGCTGTGTGCAATGGCTCATGCCTGTAATCCCAGCACTTTAGGAGGCCGAGGTGGGTGAATCATAAGGTCAGGAGATCGAGACCATTCTAGGCAACATGGTGAAATCCTGTCTCTACTAAAAATACAAAAATTAGCTGGGCTTGGTGGTGCGCGCCTGTAATCCCAGTAACGGCTGAGGCAGGAGAATTGCTTGAACCAGGGAGTCGAAGGTTGCAGTGAACCCAGATTGTGCCATTGCACTTCAGCAGCCTAGTGACAGAGGGAGACTCTGTCTCAAAAAAAAAAGAACAAAAAACAAACAAACAAAAAAAGAAGTCAGGGAAAGATACCACGAAGCATCTCTACTTGGCCAATTGTGCTTGTAAACAAGAATCCTGCGCAGGTTCCAATACAGCACTGAGATGGGATCCCGGTGCCTTGCCCCGCTTCTGAAACCCCAGGCGATACCCTGTTGGTCATTGGCACCAACTGAATCAGTCTAGACATATGAGATATAGAAGACCCTGCCCCTGCCCCCAAAGTGTTTACCATACAATTAGTCAGAAAATATGAGGGTAAGAGAAGGAAGGAAATGCTTCTAAAGACAAAGTGATTTAAGGGATTTAGGAAAAGTGGCTATCTACAGGGATCAACATAGTAGTAATTACCCAATCCTTTCTTCTATTTATTACAACAGATGGAGGCCTGGCCTCAAGTTGTAAATTGCCTGAAAGATGCTTCCTGTTGTCATTCTCTGTGGTTGTGCTTTTGCTTCTCTTTAGGGTTAAGAACAGCTGTTCACTAACCCACCCACATATTTGGAAAAACAGCTGTAATTAACGTGGATCACTTTAATCTAGAAAAATGTTAGTCCAGCCTCAGAGGCTGCTGTTTAGGAGAAAGAAGATGGATGGGCAGGATGTCTAGAGACCTGATTCGCCAACATCCAGTTTTGTGATTTTAGGCAACGTTCTTGAAGTTGGAACATCTGTGTGCACAATGAGGATAGTAATATTTGTCTACTTATATGCTGGGGCTATTGTTAAGGGCAAAGTGTGGTCGCAGATAAGAAAACATAGACACAAAGAAACCACTGTACATACTTCAGGGGCATTTAACCACAGTTGGACATAACAACAACAACAACAAAAAACTAGAAATGTTTGTTTTCTTCCTTGGCTATGGGCTTAAGAAAGAAGGGTACATTAGGGGGTGGGTGGATGGGAATAAAATATCAAGAATTTATTTCCATTCTTAACTGCATATCAGAGATACTATGAAGAGTGCTTCTGTTTCCAACCATACCATAAGAATTTTGACATTTTCCATTTGTAAAATGACTAACCCTTATTGAGGAGGAAGAGATGTTGCATTTATAAATTGAATTAATGGTTTTCCAAAAGCAATGATGTATTTATTAAGCCTTTATGCAATAAACTTACATGCATACAAAAAGTTTAAAAAATGATAAGGAACAATAAAGAACTACAATTTAGTCTCTAAAGTTGCAAACACTCTGCCAAACAATAGAAACAACAACAATAATCTTACAAAATCTGTGCAATGCCTCTAATTCTTTTTGTTCCCTGTACTGAATTATGTATACTAAAATGTTGTAACTTAGGTTTGTTAGCCAAACTCTCCATGAATATTCAACTAGAAAAGAAAAATACAGTGATTTTTTTTACTCTCAATGGTGGAAAAGTATTGTTTTGGGAAGATGCACAGGATATTTACAAACAAAGATAATTTAGAGACATATATGGTAAAATTGAGTTTGCTGAGAAGGCATATGATTAGAATGGTAGTTATCCAGAAAATTAACCTAAGGTATGTAGTAAATAGATGGAGAAGAGTCTCTCTTTTATTAGCTTCATCTTTCACCCATGAATGGCAGTTCCCATTTTCTAGTGCCACAGGATTAAAAGCTTGCAAAGATGTTGAGCTGCTTCTCTTGTACCCTCATATTTAAACACCAATTCCTACACATATCTTTGAATTATTACTTATATTAATTTGTACCCTTTTGATCCTACTTCTATGATTTTAGATACCACATAAGCTCTCTGAGATTCAAGTTCTGTACCAGTACCATTGAAATAATGATTAGCTTACTATTTTTTTTGCAAGAATTAACATGAGATTATGTCTAAAAGTCTTCAGCAATACCTGGCACTTTCATAAGCATATGTAGGCATTAAAAAGTATCAGTTACCTTTAATTCTTCCTTATATGCAGATGATTATTTTGAAATAGTCTCTTTCTGCCCTATCTTATTTCAAAGTCTTCCATAGTCAGTGAATCCTGAACACTTGCTCCAAGTTAACACCTTTCTCAAATGATTTGCCTATTCAGAAAAGCTCTCTGTATTGCCTGTAGGATGAAAACCAGTAGTTTTTAAAGACCTTCCTAATGCAGCCCTAGCATATTTAGCCAACCTTATCATTGATAAATTCTTCAGGAAAAACTTCACCTGATTTGAAAGCCTGATTTGTCTGCTTCTGCAAAGTACACTGCTATTCTGCCACATTTAAAACAAATTTAACACATCACACTTAGCCTTTAGCCTGTGGAGGAGTCTATAATAGTCGTTCAACCCATATTTGCTGAATTGAATAGTAAACACATCAGTGCCAAATATATATATATATATATTTATATATATGTACAAAGCAATATACCTAGCCCTGTAAAGACACCCCTGCTACAACAAAAAGAAAAAAGAAAAAGGAAAAGTTTTATACTTAGAGGGGATTACAAGTCTACTAGTATGATTGGTTAGGCCATTCTTGAAGTGCTATAAAGAATAGTCGAGGCCAGGGGCAGTGGCTCATACCTGTAATCCCAGTACTTTAGGAAGCAGAGGTGAGCAGATCATGAGGTCAAGAGATCGAGACCATCCTTGTCAACATAGTGAAACCCCATCTTTAGTAAAAACGCAAAATTAGCTGAGTGTGGTGGCACACACCTGTAGTCCCAGCTACTTGGGAGGCAGAGGCAGGCAAGATAATTGCTTGAACCTGGGAGGCAGAAGTTGCAGTGAGCTGAGATCACACCTGCACTCAACCCTGGCTCAAAGCATGACTCCTTTTCTAGATAGATAGATAGATAGATAGAAAAAATATTGGAGACTGGGTAATTTACAAAGAAAAGAAGTTTAATAGGTTCATGGTTCTGCAGTCTGTACAGGAGACAGTGCTGGCATCAGCTTATCATTGAGGAGGGCTCAGGAAGCTTTTAGTCATAGCAGAAGTTGAAGCAGGAGCAGACATATCACATGGCCAAAGAAGGAGCAAGAAAGAGAGAGTGGGAGGTGCTACATACTTTTAAACAACCAGATCTTACAAGAGTTCACTCACTATCCCGGGGACAGGACCAAAAGGATGTTGCCAAACCAATCATGAGAAATTTACCCCATGATCCAATCATCTCCCACCAGGCCCCACCTCCAACGCTGAGAACTGTATTTCAACATGAGATTTGGATAGGGACACTTCCAAACTGTATCTGGGGATAAGCCTAAGGCAGCTTCAACACATTTGAAACAGAAAACCATAAAAATTAGAACTCATGTATGCATTTACACATCAGATATTGTTTTTATTTATTTATTTTTTTTTGAGACGGAGTTTCGCTCTTGTTACCCAGGCTGGAGTGCAATGGCGCGATCTCGGCTCACCGCAACCTCCGCCTCCTGAGTTCAGGCAATTCTCCTGCCTCAGCCTCCTGAGTAGCTGGGACTACAGACACGCGCCACCATGCCCAGCTAATTTTTTTGTAGTTTTAGTAGAGACGGGGTTTCACCCTGTTGACCAGGATGGTCTTGATCTCTTGACCTCGTGATCCACCCGCCTCCGCCTCCCAAAGAGCTGGGATTACAGGCTTGAGCCACCGCGCCCGGCCCTAACACATCAGATATTGTTGAAGGCCTGCTGTGGTACTGTATTAGATTGGTGCAAAATAATTATGGTTTTTGCCATTACTTTTTAATGACAAAAACCTCAATTTTGCGTGAACATAATAGGTACATCAACATTCACTACATCGGGCAATTTTAACTGATGTAATCTCTGAGGATTAGAAAGAAAATAAAGGCTGGAAGAAGGTTCAGAACTTCAATAGAGTTTGTTGCATGTATAGATTTAAATGTAATATAGTTAGGAAGTAAGAAGAGCGGGCTGGGTGGGGTGGCTCATGCCTGTGATCCCAGCATTTTCAGAGGCCAAGGTGGGCAGATCACGAGGTCAAGGGATCAAGAACATCCTGGCCAACAGGGTGAAACCCTGTCTCTACTAAAAATACAAAAAAAATAGCTGGGTGTGGTGACGTGCAGCTGAGGCAGCAGAATGGCTTGCACCCAGGAGGCAGAGGTTGCAGTGAGCTGAGATTACACCACTGCACTCCAGCCTGGCAACAGAGCGAGACCATCAGGTGAAGGACATATGTTCCAAACACACACAGTTATTTCCATCTTTACAAATATAACTCTAGACCACATAATAAAAATGTCTCCCCTGGACCACTGCATAGATTATTTGTCTCTTGTCTTCCACTGTTGTTCCATCGACAATCTATTCACCACGCAACAGCCAGAGTATACCCTTAAAAAATGAAAAACCTGGCTTACCACCTCCTATTGCTTGCCACCTCTCCTAGGACACAGCCCAGGATATTTACCTTGACTTTCAGGCTCCAGATATTCTAGGTCTGGCCACGCTTCCAACCTCATTTCTTCCCTTTTACTCAACCTTCCTTGCCCTCAGCCACATTCACTTGCTGGCTATAGGGGGGCCACAAGGAACTTATTCTCACCCTGGGGCACAGCTATTCTCTCTGCCTGAAATCTTTCTTTTCAAGACTCTGCATGGCTGGCTCTTTACTTAGAACTTAGTGCAAATGGTACAGCACCAGACAGTTCATTCCTAATCACCCGGGCTAGAATAATCCCCTCCTTGCCCATGCCACTTTCTATAGGCTTATCCTGTTTTACCTTCTTCATAGCACTTTTCATTTTTCAAATTTCTCTTGTTTGCTTATTCATAAAATTAATTGTCAGTATTTGCTACCAGAATGGAAAGTCCTTAAGGGTAGGAACTTTTTCTGCTTGCTCACAGCTGTTTTCCTGAAATCTAGAAGAGACCCTGCCTCACAGTAGGTGATAAGCATTAAATAAATATTTGTGGACGCTTGTGGGCAAGTATGTATATGTGTGTATCTGAACTATAAGTAGAATGAAAAAGAAGGAAGTTGCCAAGACAGAAGAGAAAGGGTTTTTGGAGAAAAGATCATGGAGTGATCAAAGGGATATAGGAAAATAGAAATATGTTTTGTGTGTGTATATATATATAATATTATATATATAAAATGCCTCATATACATACAGACAGAAAATAGTTCTGTTGAAATGACTACTTAATATAGCCAGAAAGATGATAGAGCAATAGCTGTGGGAGATACTATGGACAGGTTTGAATTTCACTGGAAAGTGAGAATATGTTTCAACATAGAGGGTTGTTTTGAATTATCTGAGATAGAAAATGATTGAATTGAGCAAGGGGTTTGTACTTAAAAACCAACAGATGGATTAAGGAACGTTTTATTTTTATTATTGTTCTAAAGTCAGTATAATATAATGATAAAAATTTCAAGCTCTTAAGTTAGACAAGCCAGGTCGGGATTTTATCCCCATCACTAAAGACTGCAGCTAAATACAAGTTACTTAAGCTCTCTAAGTGTCAATGTCCTCAAGCATTATATGGGGAGAAAAATGAGATCTACTGCATAGTGAATGCAGGAATAAAATAAGATAATAAATATAGAGTATTTAGC